CTTTTGGAAAACATTATGAGCACAATCTTTCCGTCAAGCGTGACTTATGTTCTCAAGTATCATGATAGGGATATGCTTTACTATGCTCTTGTGATGGAATTTAGCTCATTTTCACTCATTTCGGAATAAGGTGATTATCAGATTATCAAAATTTATCTAATCCAACCCACATGAACGAGACGAATGTTTTTCTCGAATGTATTTGGCATGTGTTAGAATAACTTCACTTATTTATCTGTTGCAAATTACCTGGCAACCAAACTTTACAGCAGATGCTATTAAAAATTTTTTGCTGTAATTCTGCTAACTATCACTACATTACAAAAATTCTTCCATTCTGTACAATATATCTCATTTCCCAGATACAAGATATTCCATCCCCATAAAGGGATGCAAAAAGAGATAAAGCTGTTGCACTATCGTCATCAGAAAATCAGTTTACATCTACTATTCTATAAATACACAAGAAACAAGAAGATGAAAATGTCACTCATGAGTCCATATCAATAATCAGTTCAGCAGCTCCACCCATTGCACCAACTCCACCAACCCCCAACAAAGCGAGAGCAAGCTCCTCTTCATTCCACTGCCTTAACCCGTTGCTCAGTCTTTTCAACACATCTACATCTATCTCCACCACCCAACTAGGTGTACAATTGACCATCAGACTCACAAACTCTGAGACATAGGCACGCCAAGTGGCCCAGTCACAACCAAGTGATATATTCCCGTCAAGTGAGCTTGCGAGGAATTCCATGTGGACCCCAAGGATTTTAGGCCGTCGCTTTGATGCTGATGAAGTTGAGTCGACACCCCAAGCAAATGCTCCACAAAGCAGAGCAAAATTTGCAAGTGCATATCCTTGCAGCATCGCAACCAGCCCCTCTGATCCTTGCTGCTCTGACTTGTGAACAGAGAGGAACCAAGAAGGCAAAGTTTCTTTCATCAACAGTTGAACCAGACCTAGACCACCAGATAACCAAAGTAAAGAAGCCCCAAGAGAAGCTGCAAGTTTTATTTGAGTCATTGATGCAGCCAGTGAAATTTGTCCATATTTCAATCCATTCTTTGTTGTCTTCAATTTCTCCCTTTTTTCTCTTGGAAGCCCATTATAGGCTACTTCTCTTACAGAATGCATTAAGAGGGACACAATTTCTTCTGTTATGAACACAATATCCCTCATAGACCGATACATACGTAGATAGAGAATCCCTGGTGCAACTGGGGACATCCCACCATAGAAATGGGATCCAAATCCATGGCCAAGAAGAGATCCAACACCACCATTACTTGATATGGGTGCGGCGTTCAAGCCAAGAGTGGCAGCGAAGCAACTTTTAAGAAGCTGAACCACTGCATCCCTGTTGTGAAGGAAGACAGTGCGAGATGCAGAGAAAACAAGAAAGTCAAACCATCGTTTTGCCTTCTGGGTCCATAATGAAGCTACAATGGGCATGCATGGCCACGGACAGCCCGCAGCAAGGGTCTCCAAAGCTGGGCCAGCCAAATTGAGAAACCGTTCTGACGCCTTGTCAATCTTATAGGTTATGGTGAGACTTACAAAGGCAGCTAAGGGTAGTGGAAGTGTAGCTGGACAGCTCCCCCCTGTTAGCAGAACACATTGGTCAGGCTATAGAAACATGCCCTGGAAGTACAGATGTTCTTTCTTCTTACCACAGGCATAACCAAAGTAAAGATTTGGTTGCAAATATTTTAAGATTTAATTTTTTTTCATCTTTCTATAGTAATCATATATAAGCGTTGAG